AACTTCTTCGTCATGGTTTGATGTCGGCGCGTAAACGACGAAGATTGTCAAAGCTGGCATTGAGCCACATCTTTTTAATCGTAAACGTCCAATTCGGGTTGTAAGTTGTTCAAATGAATCGATGTTCATGGACAAACTCATGTTGATGAGAACGCCGACGCCGCCGACTCTACTGTCGCATGTTCCGAGCAACAGCTCTTCTGCGGTGTCATAGACGGCGTTTAAAGGCTGGCCTCTTCCTTCTCGACCAGGCCGATGACGTCGTACTTTATCCTTCTTGTTTGCATGAGCAAGTCTTCGATAGAGGACTTGTATGCAAGTGTACGTGCATTGTAGGTACAGATCGTCACCATAGTTCTTTGAAATCCAGGCAACTTCCATTGGCCTTGAGATTTTAGCAGCCTCTCTGTACTCGTCCTACCCAACACTGCGAAAGGGGAGGCTCTTTTGAGGTTAGGGGAATGAGGTCCGTTTTTTTTTACTGTGTTTAGCACTTTTTGTTACCCACGTATAGCTTGTTGGGCTCTGAGCGTAGGAGCTAGGTGTACCCACAGGTAGCCTGCCAGGCTCTCCTAAAGTGGGCTTGGAGCTTATTTGTTGGAGGCGACTCCTAGCCGCCTCCCATATACTTCCCATTCACTTGATTGCGGGCTTATGGCCGAATTGACTCGTAGAATACAATCCGCATAAGCAAGAATGCACCCACACACGAATGCATGAATACACCTAGCAACTACAGAAGGTATGTGCTAAATCAGCGCAGCACAAGTAGGTAGTCCATGCCCTATATCCACTTGCGTCTCAGCGGAGCAAAGGTCGCTTTTCGTCCGCGATCAACCCCCTATCTGCCACCTGGAGACGCGCTACGTAGCCTCACGACTAACCAGCTCGAGATCCCTCATATCGGCGAGATCCGTGGTCTATGTTGTCATCACAGGTAATTGCTGGCTCTTTTAGGTTGAGAAGATATCGGTTGTCTTGCCTTTAGACTTCTTGCCAGACATCAGCGATTCCACTCAGAACTTCACTCCTAGGTGGGATTTTGGATGAAAGCGCCGAATAGTACAGGTCGCCTCACTGTGCCCAGAGGCAGAGTGCGTAGGAAACTGAGGGATGTCGAGCATTTATCGAGGCTCGCCGTGATCATCTTTGCTATTATGCCTAATCGAATAACGTTTTAGAACACTCGAATAGAGAACTCGCCCATAGGACCGTGTAAAGTTACCCTTTTTTAGAAGAAAAGGTGCTCAAAGCCGTTCGCTTTTTTTTCTCCTTGGGGTCTTATTGATTTGAACTCTATTGACTAATTTTTGTCTAATGTTGCTCATTTTAGGGGCGACCAACTGGTGCTTGGAAGGATCTTTGTTAATGTGGCGTTTCATGCTAGTACGATGGTCTTACTGACACTATTCCTACCTTGCTGTAAAAAGTTGATTATTATAACATGTTTTGTCTGCTGTGACAAAAGAATGGGCAGTGAATAAAAAGTTAAGCGTTGTGCTTTCGACTTCAGGTGCACTTTAACTGATTTAATTCCCGATTTGTGTTCCCAGATCATTTGACGGGTTATTGCTGATAACACCGTTGGTATTCAAAAAAGTGGTTGAGAGAAAGGCAAAGCAACAGTCCCAATTAGTAGGGTGGATGATAGGTGAGCTTCCGTGAAAGGAAATCGTGGGTTCGAATCCCACATGAGATTTCAAGTTTTGCTCATATCTCAGCAACGTCGTGTAATATGTTTTGATCTCGTAGTATTTTTATTTTGTACGCTTTAACAGAAGGGTCAGTAGTCGTGACATTGGTTCTTCATGATAGATTTTCTGTTACCAAGATTTTCTCATTTTTGCAGTTCGCCTGATTTTCGTTAAGTCAAAGAGTTTTCACAGGCTTTTAGTATATCAGTTCTTCTCGTAATATCTTTAAGCGTGGGTTTTCAGTTCTAGTTTTTCGGTAGGTATTGGAAACTATCTAGGTAACTGTCCTGTTATGGTAATAAAGATTAGTGGAAGTAACACCGGAACTGACAAGTTACACTGGATCGACCCACGCCCGTGGCTCACCAAGCCTTTTATCACTCCGGGTTTGGGAAATTGGTACCAGACTTGTATGGGAGAGGGAGAATAGTAGCGCTGGCCCGATACATCGGTAGGCCACTGCAAATCATTGTAAAGGCCGGATATGCATTCATGCACCTCCAACGATGCTTAATGAGGTCGAGTGCGTGCCGCATCCCTCAGGTATTAGTCAACGCTGAGTGCTTTATCCTTTAACTCCGGAACTGACTTTGCCAAGAATATATGGGCATTCGTCTACTGGATTGAGATTAGTTTGATTTATTCATCTCATATCCTCTAATAGTAGGAATGCAGTGGATAGGCATTCTGTGCACTGTAGCAGTGTTGGTTTGTTGGACTGCTATAGCTTGATGAACCAGCGTTTAATGGAATTGTCAAATTGGTGTCAGATTTGTCTTTGAACTTCAATCCGCAAGATTTAATGACGGGTGAGAGCATGGGCACGTTCTATCGAAGGCGAAACCTGAAAGCAGTAGTCGAATTCTTAGTATTTCCGAAAAATTGGATGTAAGGTAACAAACCAGGAGGAGAATGTGCTGGTGTACGTACAATGCGTAGGTGTAAATGACTAAACTCCCTCAGAGAAATTGGATTGGTAAGCCTTGTTCTTAGAGAAGAGGATAATCTTTCCCATTAACCAATGGAAATGTCTCCTCATCAGGACTGGGTGGAACTTGCAGTTTTGATTTAGCTTCATAAACAACATTGGCCAGGCTGGCTAGAAGCCTGGGATCTTCTCTCAGAAATCCCAGAAATCCAGGAAAAAAATTGTGAGAGTAAGCCTATGCTGGGATTAAGTCTCGCTTCTTCCCAGTGACTATCTCACTGCTAAGAATAGCAGGAATGAAAGACGTTGCAGAGGAACTTTGATACTGCCTCTATCTCTTGAACGAGTGGTGCCTAATGAGCATATTTGACGCGAATGCGAGCCTGTAGGAGAATTTAGTGCTGTCTGTTCAAAATCATCAGTGATTATCGAGATTGCAGTTAACATTCAGTCAAAAATAATACAGTATGAATAGACTGCAAGGATCTCATTTATAAGCCAAGAAATCTCTTGATGCACATCAACATGCGACAGAGTGTGGCGAACACTTTGGAACACTCTACCACAGATGTATCAGGAGTCCTTGAAAACCCAAGCAGTAATAAATGAGGAAAGAAAACGAGAGGTACCGAAGGTGTAATCGTACACAAGCAGGAACATGATCACTTTCAGGATGATAACTGCAAGACAACGACACAAAACGAGGGAGCGCTGGTACCTGCACCGCAAGAGATGATGGACAAGTATTGTGGTTATTACTTCTTCATAGGTCCACCTATTGTATTCCCATTTGCCCAGTAATGTATAACACTAGAGAGATACTAGAAGCGTCAAACTTTGTGGTCATACATTAACCTTTAATGCCCTTGGGCAAATAACTTATTGTTTTGAAATAAATCCGCTATACATCGCAGTTCAACACCAAGTTTTCTTTTTCCCGACGAACAATCCAAATCACAATGACGACCACTTCTGGATCATCGACTCGAAGCAATCCGGTTCTGAAGAGGGCGAAGCTGTCGAAACGTAGCCGAATAAATCTTTTGACCTTTTGATCTCGTGTTTGTTTAATAATCGACGAAGGTATTATCACGTTATTTTATTAGTTTAACGTTATTCTTTTTTAATAGGTTAACGTGAGACTGATAAGAAACCTTATTCGGCAAACGTTTGGACTTCTTCGTCTTCGTTAAAGTCGATGATCCTGCATAAGACTACAAAATGCGATTTATCAGTCTAAATATGCTTAATGGCTTCTCGACTCATCGTTTGGTTAAAGGAGTGTTTTTGCTGTAGGACAAATATGAACAGCATTCCATTCTTTATTCCTGAGAGCAGAGTCAGCAGGTGTGAGAAGTCCACGTGTCCATCTAGAAGACTAATTTCGAGTGAACCTATGCTAAGGAGCATTCCGAATAGTTATTATTGAATGGTCGTTTGGTAAAAATGGGCAAAAAGGGCTCACTCGAAAAGCGTAATTCTCCTTGCCTTTCTCGAGCGAAAGAAGCCCACTAAGCAGTTCTGGCGCCTGATGAAACCGGATGGATTTTACTGGTATACAACATAATGCAGACAAAATGTTTGTAATGATACAATAATAATGTTCAATAATAGCATTACCATTAACTACAGTGACAGTACCACTAATTAGTATAGTTGTAATGTTTCCTTACATTACTATAATAAGGTTTTTTTGAGTTGCTGATACGCTCTCCAGTTACTCAGTGATTATTGCAATTACTGGTGATACTGGTGAATGGTAACTAGTAGGCTATCAATCTAGATAGTCATCAACTGTGTGTGCTGCGATTGCAAGCTGGTTCTAAATTGCTGCTTGCCTTATCGAACGACGTAAGATTACAAGGTGGCTTGTCATCACGACCCTTTCCACAATGACCTTCAGCTGCCAATCTGGTTAAGCTGACTGGTGTAATGTATGACTTTAGACCAGGGTCATTGGACAGATCTGGTTATAGCCGTCGCGTACATAAGGCCGGATTTATCCACCATCGAACACTCGTATTCTATCACATCGTTTCATTTCTCCTTTGTGTTGCACTTCCTGACCACTACTTCCACTCCTACACTTTTTTGCTTTACTTTATTTTCATCCTTCGTATTTCTATTGCAATATATTTTCAAACTCTTCCAAATCTTTACCTATTTTTGTTTGTATGTTGTAAACCCCACGCAACTTTATGAGAAAGGTCAATCTGTTGTATTGAAATAAGAGAAATTTTTCACCGTGTGCTTTTCAGACTGTATGATAAAGACCAATAAGAGTGAAAAAATTGAAACAGTGGTGTGAAATTTAATGACGCGTTCTTTTCCTTGTAAAACTTTCACTAACTAAACCATTAGACTCGTTTACTCTGCAGATGAAGCTGCAGACAGAGGCGCATAAACCGGATTGGTCGAAAGAAACAGGTCTGACCGTCGACTGTCCTCACCAAGCAGCCAACACGAGAACAGGAGCGGTGTCTGACGAGAAGCCGAACCTGGGTGTTAGAATCGTCGACACTGCCAAGAGCGTCGCTCGTCAGTTATGGGAGAAGTACGGGTTTTACATTTTACCTCCTATGTATATCCTATCCTTTTCAAGCCTTTTTCGTTGACAATGCCCAATGCTTATTGTTTTAATTGTCCGGTTTTCAGTCTTTTTCGTTTTTTTCTTACATCATATTTCTAAAAGAAAGAGATTACACACATTAACCACTCGAAGTCCCACGAATCGTTGCATGAATAGAGCAGACAGCAATAATCCTATTGCTGGTTTCTGTGAGTTGCCAAGGATAGATTCCCTTTGTTCATGCCGCTCGAAGAGAATCACAGTTCTCGTTCGAGGACCTTTATTTTCGCTGTTTTTGGTGGCTAAAAATTCCTGCCGTTAGTTGGGCTTCCGGATGCAAATGTCCCACGTGTGCTGATTCTGCTCAACAATTAATCCTGGTTTAAATCTCTCTGCACTATCCAGAAGCACCTTCCAATAAGGCGAAATAGTAAAGTATTAAGCGAATTGACTATTTCTTATTGTTTTTTGACAAAAATATATCACGGACAGCTCGCTGGGGTCCTCCGTAGTAGATGTATGGTTTGTTTGTTGGAGACCATCGGAAACCCTTCATATCCGCACCTTCTTATTTACTTACATGATAGACTTTGACTGAAACAAGTATGGGACACAGTTTGCATTCAAGCAAACACACTCGCTTTAATGGGCTTGCTTTTATACAGAACGTATAAACCAACTTTACGCATCGGAGATAGCGATACGATCTTTTAACTCACCAGGGACGGCGGTACGACCACTTCCAGCCCGCTCCTTGTCTCCGCCATCTAAAGTGGTGTAAATCTCACTACGCTCTATATGTAGTTATTGTTTCGTAGAAAGTTGATTAAATGATTTTTAATTTAACATTTCAGAAGTAGAGGGAATTTTCCCTGACATTTAAAGTGTCAGTGTCTGGTGATTTCGAGTTTTCTTCAATCAATTCATTTAGAAAAAAGGACACTTGCTGTATTCTTCCACAAAACAACGTTCTTCTGTCTGAGAAGTGCTGCATTGGAAAATTACTCCACGTGCAACAACTCAGGGGGAAATTCGTGAAGAACCGAGCAGGAGAAGTGGAAAAGTCCTAGCTGTATGCGTTACTGTGCCTTTGCAAATAAAGCCTTTCTGCTATGGAATGTATGCATTTCCTCTACTTCAACTTTGTTGTAGTTTCTAATCCCAATAGGCAATATTATGTTAGATATAATTACAGGATAGTGACGCAATTTTTCACGAAGACGGTGCTGGTTCGACTCCGCACTGAGATCCTCAAGCCTATCATCTCTTCTGGTTTAGAAAATTGATAGGCTTGTCTGGGAACAATTTACCTCTTGCTATCCAACCGGAAACGCCCTAGGCCGCCTATCACAGGGTAAAGGACGACTTGACCACTATTCAACGGCATTCATTAAGTCGACAATCCTCAAGAAGCATTCGAACTCACGTGCGAACAATTCAGAGGCCTTGGAGGGTGACCCTGTGACTGCGCAAGGAAGCGAATCGAATGTAAGAAGTGATAGGATCCGTGCAGTAGATGTGAAGACAAGTCATGGAAAAAAAAATATTGCATATGATAGAGGCATGTGTAGCACAGTGGTTGCAGTTGTCCTGCAACATAAATTAAATATTCCTCTGGTTTGATCCTGCCCCCTTAGCCCTCCATCCTTCGGAGGCTAGAAAATTGGAAGCAGACCTACCTGGAAGGATAGCGATTCGTAGTCTCCTGAAAGTAATTGTAGACGCCGCCTCTAAGCATACAGGGCCTCTGAAGACGGCTCCTCGAAAGTTGTGGTAGCAAAGGATTGGTCAACGCCTAACGTTTTACCCTCGAGACATGTATTTAGAACAAGAGAAATAGGACCATTATTATGCAGATTTAAGATCTGTGAAGCAATTGGAAAAGTCCGGAAAAAAACAACAAAGTGAAATGTGATTGAACGTAATGAAATGGGAACTGTGACAAATTGCCACACTGTAATAGAATATTAGAATGACTGACATGGAATTTCGCTCTATCAAAAAAATTATCTTCTCTTCACTGCTTTGCTCATGCTGTTGATTTACTCCATTTCGCAATTCTTCTACAGTATTTCCATGAAAGTTGTTGGGAATGGTATGAAATTCGTCTCCATGAGTGGAAGGATGTCGGGAGGGTGGACGAGTGCTTTGGGCTTCAGTTACTGCAAGGCGGGGCAACCCTGTATTTCCCTAGATTCAGTTAATTAACAAACACATCACCCACTGTCCAGTAGATCGATCTAGAAAGCTTTTTGAGTTCGCTGCAATCCATGCTTTGAAACTTCAGATTAACTCTAAGCACAAAATGATACAGTAAACATTACTCTTATAAATAGTTAGATAAGGTTATCCTTAGGAAAGAATTCACCTTCTCGTGATCAACAACCTATGACTTTCATTATCATCTTATCAAAACACCCTAAAACCACACGAACAACACGTATACTTGAGCGTTTACAAATTACCTTCGATAAAATTCACACTGTACACGTCGATACGAAAACTGTGGACGATGAAAGGAGAAAGGAAAAACGAAAAAGGAAAAGTGAAAAAGAGGCTTGTAAAGACGAAAACAAACGTGTCAAGAGATTTTCTTGATGTCAACTGAATTCGTGCGGACCGCGAGGAGTGACCCGCATGGAGAAGGGGTAGTGGCGGTCGTGTGAGCGCTGCTTCTGCATCGGGTCGGCGACGCGGGCCTGTCGTTCGGCAGCAGATTCTCGTCGACCTGGTCCTACGGCTTCAGCAGGACGATCGGACGTGAGGGCGCCACCAACGACAGCAGATACGCCTGTGTTCTACTGAAAAAAGAGACAAAGAAGTTGTTGGTTTCTAGAATTCTAATTTTGGAATCCGTGGATGTCCACTCATTGTTTGAGTTAAAAACCAAAATGATGCGCGTATAACATTGGAAAATAAAAGAACACTTCGGTTCATTCGACATACTCAACTGAGGAAAATGCGAGAACGAGGACGCTACATCGAGAAGATGAACAACTGCGGGCCATCGACCAGGATCATCGGCTCTGATGAAGATGAAAACGTCGAAACGTTAGCTGAATAAACATCTCTATCAACCTGTGTGAGCTCAACAATATAAAGGCATATTGATTAAAAGAACACTTTTTCAACTTAACACGTCGCTCATCATCGTTCACTCAGTCATAAAATTGTATTTCTTCGTGTTTTCATCCTTTCCTCGCTTTGTTTTCTTTTTGGTTATTTTTTCAAGATAAGTCAGCTCAGAAACCAAGCGCGTTACATGTGTTTATAAAACGATTTATTACGAAATTCTTTCAAAATTATGTCAGCTTTGTCTCTGTGAAACTGGAAAACTTCTATTTATGTTTCATGGTTGCTTTGTGTCGGCGTTTCTTGATTTCTCAAATTTGCACTTGACACGGGAAATTCCAAAAAAAAAAAATGGGAAAAATAGGGAAAAAGGGGCTACCTTTTGACCGGATGCGAAACGAAACATGATTACCAAGTTCACTCACAATGTCAGTGCCGCACGTGGGAAGAGAACCCTTTAAGATCCCACGTTTCAACGTTCCCTTTACATATCTTGCGATGGAACTAAAACTCGTAAAGATAGGAAAGACAGCGACGACTAGCACTATCATCGATCCCGATAATTAGGAGAGGTTAAATGATTGAAAAGGCAGAAATGATGACAAGATGATAAAGGATGGAGCGCTCTGCGTTGAGCAACCTCTGAAAGATGCTCCATGTATTTGGCGTCATCAAGCATTGCAGAGGTGATTGAATACATATTTGGCTTATACAATGATATGAATTGAATGTATATCTGATCTGTACAGTGATATGCGGTGGTCTAGCGCTGTATCGAGTCAGCAGTGCTACCCTTCCATATCTAGCACAAATTTTGCGACCCCGGAGGCATGGATGCCCTGGTGGACCGGCGGAGCGGTGTGGGAGAGAATCATCGACCGCCTGTGTTTTGCTGGAGAGTAGAGGCAATCAGATTGGCGTTAAGAATCTTATTCTGCGTATCTTCTGCACGATAATACTCATACGTCCTCTTATCGCATTGAAGTGTACAAGTCTTGCTAGCTATTTCACAACTGGCGACGTTCTCCGCTATAAATTGACAAGAATGACGGGCACTTCGTTATGCCAATTTTCATGTATCAGAAGAGGAATCCGAGTCTTTTATTTTTAGCGAATGAGAGCATCAAATCGGAATTAGAGAAGCATTGTCAGGAAATCGACGAAATGCATCGATTTTAGGAAATAGGCAGGAGAAAATGGCCTCAGTTTCTCCTGGCGACATTAATACTCAACCGAACTCGAAGATTGTCTTCAACGCGCCGTTACGATGACAAACACACCTACCACATCCCTTTCTCTCATTACCTTATTTCAAAACACCTTGATGACTGCTTGTTGAAAACCCACAGCAAAGGTGCTGCTGAAAATTCCTCTGAAGGATCCGTGATTCATGAAGCTCAGAATTAACCTCTCACAAGGCGAATATTTTCGCACGTTACTGCCTGAATTATGACGATTTTTCATTGCCAAGCGGGGTTTGTTATTGGTTGGGATTTGTGCATTCGTCAAAGCTAAAAGGCGAGATTGGGCCAATGTAAAACGCTCTGCCTACAAATCAGTAGAAAACCTTTCAATTTCGCCATTTTTTGCATGTACAACATTTTTCGCTAAAGTTGTACAGAGCTCTTGCGATGCCGGTTATCGTAGTAATTCACCCAATGGCGTAAAGCGGTTGTTGGTCCTGAACGAGCTGGTTCTCTGTGGCTGTCGGCATGTCGTCATCAGGCAACAACTGCTGCTTGTAGTGTACCGGCTTCTTTTCCTCAAAAAAGCGTAAACATCCATTTCTTCTCCAATGTTGGGAAATATGTACAGACTTGAACTTATTATAAACGATTTGTCCAATTCATGCTTGTTCCACTTAGTCATGTTAGCATTATCGTCTCCCAAAAAGGAAAGGCATTATTATGAAGATCCATTGCTGGCTAGATGCCATTAACAAGAAGTCCTGATTTCTTACAAGTGCCATCTATC